TATGTAAACTTGTATGGTACTGCTGTCCCGCTGCTGTTTCCATCTTCTCCCTTTCCTTTCCAAGGCGCTGTCAAAACACAACATTTGCCATTCCATTGCAAGGTAGCATGTGTCTGAAACGAAGATGTAAAGCTCTGACCATAACAAAGCACACAATATTAAAGGAAACTTAGCTATTTTTCTACCATTTGGGTTTCCTGTTTACATACGGTAAAATTACGAACTTAAAGCAAAATTTAATGTTTCAACAGGAAGCAATTCTCGTTTCGCCCATCTGCCTCCAGTTTCAAATCCCTGGCGGAAAAAATTCACTTGGTGTTAGTCTACCTTGTTGTTGTAAATGAGCCAATGCAGGCGGTAAACTGTGTATCCAGAATTGGGTTTTGTATCCATCTTGAAGATTGACGTTTTGTCACGATCACTAAGGTTATCCAGTCAGACCGTTTCCAATGTAGCAAAAATATATTATGTCGACGCATTTGCTTTCGTATCGACATTCCTTGTGATGCATTTAAAAGGACTCCAAAATCAACCTCAAATATTCCTGATACATAACTCTTATGGTAATGCAAGCTATGGTGACTTTGGCCTCATTGCTCGAAAAGGCCAACTGTCTTACGTGCGATAGTCATGATATTGTGCACAAAACTCCGGCAGATTTTGTTGTGTGCTCAGCTTATTTGATTAAAATAGCCCATTTAAGAGCTTTTAGTTACAGAAACTGTGATATAATTAAAGTGGAGGCATTATTTCTGCTTACACGTTCCTCCTCATATTTCTATTGTATTGAAGTTCGCAATGCGGGATATGCTTTAAAGAAAAGCACCGGTTTATTGCAACTACTACTAATTTTAAGCTATAATACCTCGGGCAAATTTGAGGTTTTATAATATATCCCCTTGGGATTCGAAGCCTGCAATCCTATCAGATCGCAGTGGGTGAAGAACTGCTCCCTAAAAGGGATGTACACTTTATTCCCTTAAGTTGCCTTTGATGGTGGCAAGACAAACAGTTTAGAAACTGAGAAGTTTGAAATGGTTAGATCAATTTAAAGTAACTGCATTTTCCCTTTTTTGCAGGGTAGCGATGAATGTTTGTTTATGCAGCCAATTTTTTGGAGCCAGTCCGCACTTCGTGGCAAAAAGGCATTTAAGTATACCTTATTGAGTTCTTGGATGAGATGTTAACTCACATACCATAAAAAGGATTAGGCAGCGAATAAAAAAACCCAAAAATCACACTGGTCTTTGGTTAATGAAAATCCTGGACATTGTATAACATTCCACACTTGTTACCGGGAAAAGTGGCTAATGTATAGGCAGTATGTTGACCGAAACCGAACGAATGGTCATAACTGATTCTAATTAGGTGGCAAGGCTTAGCGTTTGAAAACAACAGCCGACATTTGTAGGGCTGAAAAAGGCAACTCTGAAATGAGGACAGAGTTTTCACTTTTAAAATCACACTTTGTTTTTCTACGGACGACCCATTCATTCGCCAATGAGTACTTCTATGACACGGTGCGATTCAGTGCCAGAAGACCAGACTTACTTTGTGCATTTGTAGAGTGCGATGTTTAATGGATGGAAGCTCATATTTTCACTTCAGAAGAAGTTAGGACTAAACACTCAGTGGAAGGAACTTACACCTCACACTACAAAGCGTATTTGGTAGTCTATTAGTGAATAGACTTAAGCTGCAGGTAGGATGGGATAAAAGACTGCCTTATGCTTAGACTCGTCGTGCAACAGAATGGTGTGTTATAGTTTTGTTTTTTTGTCGAATGTGGGGCACAGATTATGGAAGAGATTAATAGACCCAAGGGACAAGTCTTCATTCCACACCCCAATTTCTGGCCATTCCTAGTGAGAAGATCATAAATTAGACGTGGGAAGGCTTCTTCTAAAGAAGCCTTTAAACCGCCATATTTAGCCTCTGACTCTTCTTTACATGTTAAACGTTACGGAAGAACACTTTGGCGAGTGTCTGTTCTTCGTGGTTGTTGGCGAGTTGACCTAAGCTGATGCAGCATTCCTTCAAATTGGTATCCGTCGGTATACTACATTTACAAGGTCGGAAACGGGGTCTACGAATCCGAAAGTGGGATGAATGGTACCCTCTGACATTGAAGTTAGAAACAAGGCATAAATCTTGCCATTTAATATCACATTTCCTTCGTCAAATGGATAATATTTTCCCTCGATTCCATCGGCGTACAAATTGATGGTTTCTCTGCCCTACCTTTGTATTCATTTGCTCGGTACGAGCAGGCCAGTTATATGAGGACATTTCTAATCTATTTCGACGTCCCTTCTGAAGTAAACGAGTTTAAAGCTGCAAGTGGCATGACGTATTTACAAGTAGGGAGACAAAATTGCTCACTCCGATAGCAATTGCAAGATTTGTTTTTAAAAATTGATTACCTTGAAAGTTGTGCATTCGGAGAAATTGCATTTTTGATGAAGTATTAATATGACACAAGCCTGGAATAGCTTCCATTGAAGCAGGCATTAATACTGGTTACTGCAAATAGCTGGACTTTTACATCAGTGATGCCACGTTCCCTTACGATGGCTTCTTCCTCGTGGACTCGCAAAGAACATCCGATGCCCTGCTGGAGCCGGATTTCCACCTTCGCCGCAAAAGCTGAAGGCCCTTGGGCTACTACAGTTCATTTGCTGGCAGCAGCAGAATACCCAAAATTGCTGGAAGTCAATGTGACTAGTGAGATTGCCCTTTGTACCTCTATTTGGCAGAAGACGCCGTTCAATTTGGCATCCATCTCCACGGATCGCATTGTGCTTTTCACGAGTATCCCATGTCTTCAGCCTCAAACGGAGGAGGAAGAGGAGGAGATGAAGCAGACGATCGATGTGATGGAAACGGAAGAGGAGACGGAGGAGGGTGAAGAAGACGGGATGGAATAGGGTAAGTCAGCGACAAACAAAGATCAGATTAGAGAAAACTTGGTTGCCGAATATCACTGCAATGAGGTGCGCTAGTACGATTGATTAGTTGAAGGATCAATTGAAGGAGTTAGGCTTAATAAAATACATCAATGTACCGCGGTAAGGGTGATATGTGCCACTGCTGTAATCGTGCGTGTAGCAGAAGATACATTTCCCCTCTTTTCGTGATGCATTTTTTGGTATTTCAGAGTTGTACTGCACACTTATTTTGTTTGCATCCACATTCAGTGCTCGGTGTCTGATCTCAGCTGCTCGAAGCACATTGTCCCACGCCTTATGCGAAGGACACAAACTGGAACACGGAACGTAAATGCTCCAGTGTTTGCTCTACGCCACGTGCCCTACCACTCACCAATTGCGTAAGTCAAAGTGTGCACCACAGGATGCAAGGCGTCATGATCTCACCACCGCCAATACAAAGCATACAGCCACCGGATGAGAAGGGGACATTTATTGAAATCGAATAGTCTCTCACAAGGCTGCTCATCACCCTCTAGTCATGTGGTGGGATACGTATTGAAGGCGTCTCCATAACCAGGTAATGTGTCTTGTGCGACAACACTGGTGACGTTCTGACCAGCGGTGTGACAATCTTCAGGGCTCTTAATGGTAGTACATGCATTCCGCTTTCTGAATCTTTTGATGGGCAGACACCACCTAATCACCTCATCAGTTAAGCTGTGGCTGATGAGTACCACAATGCACTTTTCACTGTTTCGATAGCATTCATTGTGTCGATTTGTAAAATATGGAAGGCAGGAAAAGGTGGGTTGCACAAATGTTGTAAAGAATTTGCAGGAAAACATAACATTTCGGAAGACCAATATATTTTGTGTGGTCCGTGTGACGTCCCAGCCATTCATTTACATGAGAGTTGAATGGAAGTATAATTGGGTGGTGTAATCTCGAAGTATCTTCCTTAAGTATGAAATCACATATAATTTATTTTGTGCTACAGCATCGGCGCCAGGTTCAAGAACCTTCGACTAAGAAGCTAAAGTTATATTTTCATCAATGATTTTCTACGTTTCCTGCAGTGTGCAACAGTTTGCTTCCTCATTTTAAAGTAGTTACTGTTCTCCGTAGATGACACGGCAATCTACACAACTCCGTGCTTTCCTTGTTAAACTAGCAACACCACTACAAGTGCGGTCTAAAATGTGTCAACTCTACATATCGTTTGAGAAGAATTTACAATGTACGATTGGTTAATTTGAAGCTGCATCCTCCACCTTGCGTTCGCCAGCGCCTTCAGTGGAAGACCTACGGAGTTACAGGTCAAGCTTAATACGCTTAAAGTGCTTACGTGTTTTTTAGGCCTGACTGAACCAGCTCATCTTCCCCATTACAGAATTGTATCCTAAAAGCAATAAACATAGATAAAGAAGTGAAGGGCAATGGCTCTCTGCGGCATGGGCATTGAACAGGCATGAAATACAATGTCTTAGGGGGCATTCACATAACATTTTGTAATGCTTAATGCTTTATTATATGGATCATGCATTAAAAGTCGTTCAACGTAACCAACAATTGCAAATTGTATATAAATTTACAGCAAGGATTTTTTGCTGCAAATTGCAGGTAAATGACGAAAAGCTTCATGTGTTACCACTAGTTTTGATACGAAGAGTGTATGAGTTGTGCGTTGACACGTCGGGTTTTCGAGCTACATGGGTGGTGCCACAACTTCAGCCTTCAGGGCCGAACAGATGGGTTGGTCACCGTTGCCACAGGCGTAGCATATCGCTGCTAACACACCGCTACCGTCAATTGTCACCAACTTTTCTGAGAAAGGAAGTGCTAGTTAGGGCTGTATTTCCAGGAATTGCTTCGTCCTATGAGATTTCTTAGACAACCTTTGACGTTTTTTCAGAAACCCAGGAATGTGGTCTCTTCTTATCGTTCGGTAAGCAAGTTGGTAGACTGATTTAATAGTGGTCATCACGGCAGTAATACCGGAGCACTGACATTCAACACATTGTAAGCAAAAACGTGACATTGAGATCCGCCCTTTGCTCATGACTCAGCAATACCACCATCAAAGGCGTGTGCGGATACCAAATGCTAGTGTAATTGATTCGCCGCCTTTAAAAAGGAGGTATTTTTGATAACTTACCTCTTCACAGCTTAGTGCCAGCTCACACAATCGTAAAAGCTATTCATAAGGCCAGCACAAGCTCTGGAATTTTTCTATCTGTTACTAATAAACTGTGCATCAAATATAATAAACACAACTCATGTGGGCTGGTTTGATGCTGCTGGTACAGGGGTCCCAAGGAATGTTAGCCAAGCAGTAACTAATCATGCAATGCCTTTTGCGAAATGCCAAACATGATTTTGTGTTAATTAGCTTAAAAAGATATAGCTAATAAGGACTGTTGAATAGGGAACTAAGCTGAATAGGGAAAGCGTGCACAATACAACATGAAAACCAGGCACAAAAATGGAAAGCCGTCCATATTGGAAAATACTACTAAATTTTACCGAATATTTGTTCATGAGAATGTTTTAAGGCATAGGAGAAAGATATGCAAAATATAAGTGCTAGTGAGGTAAAGCTTTGACATTGTGTGATTTTGCAATGCGGCCAACGTCGTCCGGTGTTTAATGGCAATACTGATTAGGAATACAAAGTTGTTGCTTAATGACAACTTTGCTTGATGCGTCAACATTCCAGCTGTCAATCACATCTTACCTTACCTACCTTCTTACGGCTATCTCTGTTAAGCCACAATCAATTAAGAGAGCTGGCTTTCGGTCCCTCTGTTATGTGCCGCATCTTGATACACAGAAGAGGTAAACGTCAGTCCTACTCTGCGGCATTCTGCGAGGCTCTCTCCCATCTCTAACTCCACCAGTTTTCAGTTCTGACTTTTGAGTTATAAATAGCGGTGTCATCTCTTATCTTCGGTCC